GATCAAGTGCGAAATAGTGCAGAAAAAGAGTAATGATTTGGCAAAGATTGGTTTTCAAATCAGGCTATTTATATATACAGACCAAAACAATCAGGTCATTTATATTGAAAGAGGCAGGACCCTAACTAAGTAAGGTGACATCTCCTTTCAAGTTATGTCAGAAAGAAAAGGGTAAATTATAGACTGCTGCCCTGTACTTGAGGGCTGGTAACACTTAGCCCCCTGAACTTTGTTTTGCAACAAAGACCCCTTGAACTTCTGGATTTCATTACTTCGCCTCCTACTCCGTTAACAGGGTTGGCTGTGAAGGTAAAATTACCTTCAGCACTATCAGAATGATGAAAATTGCCTATTCGGTATCCAATGGCCTGAGAACAAACACTATCATGCTCATTTCTGTCTTTTGATATTGTGCTTTAGCATTTTCATTTCTGTCTTTTGATAGTGTGCTTTAGCATGCTCATTTCTGTCTTTTGACAGCTTTTTCTCCCAGCCCATTGAGTCCCAAATAGGCAATTTAGTAATTTTACCTCCACAGCCAGCACTGTTAACAGAGTAGGGGCAAAGTACTGAAATACAGAATGTCAGGGGGGTCTTTGTCGCAAAATGAAGTTCGGAGGGCTAAGCTGACCTAGAATCTCATCCATGTTTCCTTCATTATAACTTGTGCACAGAAAAAAGGAAACATTTTTTTTTTCTACACATAATTTTTTGCTCCTATTACTCTCTCATAAAAGTGAAATTTCTAATTCCCTCCCTTTCTGGCAAAAGCTGATAAAACATTTGTCATCACCTGGCAGCCAAAAAAAGGCTTACCTCACCATATTTGACAAGACAAGTTTTAGCCTAACACTCTCATGCCAGGCCTTTTTGTGCTTTTTATTAAATAAAAAACTTTGGAATTCTAATGGCTAATATCACTGATCATTATTGGAAAGGTCCAAAATTGATGGGTATAGAGCCATGGGACCATTCAACTAAATTATGTCCCCATATTAGAAGCAAGGGCTTTTACTTATTTATTTATTTTTGATCAATAACAAAGAGCAATTTTATTAATAGAATCACAAATACATACAGAGAACTAGGGAGAGATAAAATAGCTTAACTCTCCCCCAAAGGATTAAAAGGGAATTACAGTATTGCCCAAAACAATTGACCCCTACTCACCCCCTGTTTTGCCAAATTATCAGCAAAGGCATTTGCAGTTCTCTTCACCCAATGAACCTGAAATTCCACTCCCCTCAGTAGCCATTTAACCTCCCTCTTCTCATTAGCATAAATCTAGAACCCATTACCCCTCCTTAACCAATTTAACGCTAACCGTAATTCTCCTTCAATAATCACCTTTTGAATGTTCAGTTCCTTTACCTTCCTTAGCCCTACCAGTAAAGCTTACAGTTCAACTCTAAGAGAGTCACCCATCCCAATGGGACCTGAGCACAAAGTAACCACCTTCCCACTTTCATCTTTGATTGCTCTTCCAAGACCTGAAGGTCCTGGTTTGCCTTCACTACTCCCATCAAAGTTTTATTTCATAAACCCCGGGGCTGGAGGTGACTACAAAGGGCACACCACTGATTGAGCTGATACAAAGGATGCCACTTCCTTCCAATTGTTCAGCAGCGTACTGCGTATCCATGGAGATATCAGCAAACAACTCTAAAGTTTTCAGCCATTGCATCACCCTAACTGTTATGATTTCAATCAGCTCTTCTTTCTTCCTTTTTTTCTCAGAGAAGGTCCTTAAATTCCTTTCTTCCCACAGTGTCCAGAAGATGGCAGCTCTCACACATCTCCACATGATTTTACCCCTTTTCTTCGACCACCTAAAGAAAGAAGTAGCAAACAAGCCTTGTATACTTTGGAGGAGGGAGCCACCTGTAACCAAAAAGATCCATAAACCAAGCCCAAATATCAGAACCGAAAAGTAGGAAACTAATAAATGATAAGGGCTTTCACCATTAGCCTTGCAATAGGATGCACCAGTGTGGAGACAAGCACCTATTAGGCCTTTCCTTTGGAGAAAATCACAGGTATTACATCTTTCCAAGAAGGCCTCCCAACAAGAAGCTCTAATCCTCAGAGGGATCGGTTTACCCCAAATTTCCTTCACAAGAAAATTCTGGAAGCTACTGTTAGCTGAGTGTACCAAAGAATTAAAGAAAGAGGCACATGAAAAGACTATAGAAGGGGTTAAGGTCCAAATTCTACTATCCCTTTTAGAGGGGTCCAAAACCACATTATTCAAAATCTGAACTAACTCCAAAGCACTCTCAAGTTCTGGTTCCTAAGACCTCTTCTAAAACCCAAGTTCCAATCAAAATCAAAGTTGGACTCAGAAGGGACCAGGAATGAAGACACAAGTTCCCCTTTAAGCCGAGTGATGGAGAATAAAGAAGGAAATTTGTCTTTTAAAGGCATTTCTCCCACCCAAAGGTTTTCCTAGAACTTCACTTGGTTACCAGAACAAAGATCATACCTAATATGCTGTAAAAAGGAAGGGAGAATGGCATGAATGGATCTCCAAGGAGAGGCTTTAGTAGTCCTCAGTTCAAAGCCCCACCCATCCTCAACAAGCCCATGTATACTCAGAATCACTTTAGCCCACAGGTTATCTCTGTCCTCTGCTAATCTCCATAACCACTTTTCCAACAGAGCTTCATTTCTCTTCCGAATGTTTTCTAAACCTAGGCCTCTTTCCTCCCTATTTCTAGAGACTATCTCCCACTTCACCGTATGGTCTTTCTTGTCCTCCCTCAACTCCCACAAGAAGTCTCTCATCAGTTTCTCTAAGTTGATAGATAGTACACTGGTAGACTAGCCAGTGGACTTTATCAAAGTAATTCTGCCGCCCAAGGATAAGTTATTCTTCTTCCAGGAAGCCAACCTCTTTGTGAATCTATCAACTACTAGGCTCCAAAAGCTGTTATTCCCTGGGTTATCCCCTAGGGGCATCCCCAAATACTTAAATGGCCATTGTGACACCTCACACCCCAAAATTTCAGCACTTTCTATCATAGCACTCTCCTCCATGTTGATCTTCACTACACAACTCTTATCAAAATTGACCTTCAGATTTGACATTTTCTCAAAAATTTGCACTACCATCTTCAAATTCCTAACCCACCCCACCTCCTCCCCGTCATAGAACAAGATTGTATCATCAACAAATTGTAATTTGGTGATAGGTATTCCATCTCTTCCAACCCTCCAACCCTTCACTAGGTTCTTATCATCTATCCTTTCTATTAGTCTCCCCAACACATCTACAATCAAGGTAAAAAGAAAAGGAGAGAGACGGTTGCCTTATCTAATTCCCCTAATAGTTGGAAAGTGATCCACTACTATCCCAGTAACCAATATTGAGTAGTGACAACCCTCAATATACCCCAAGATCCATTTACACTATTTCACTCCAAATCCAAAGCATTCCATCACTTGCATTAGGAAGGACCAATCTACTATATCATAAGCTTTCTCCAAGTCCAGCTTACAAACAATCCCTTTCCTCCTATTTGCTCTCCACACATTCATTTGCAATTAAGATTTGATCAATAATCTGCCTCTTCCCCACAAAGGCCCCTTGATTCTGTGAGATTATGCTTGGGAGAACAACTCTAATTCTTCGAGACAAGACCTTAGCCACAATCTTATACACACTATTCACCAAGCTGATAGGTCTAAAATCTCTTGGATGGCATGCATCAACTTTCTTTTGGACTAAAGCAATAAATGTCGAATTCAGCCCCGGATTATCACCCTATCAAAAAATTCGTCAAACACTTTCATGATATCCTGCTTCAAGATCTCCCAACAATCCTGATAAAAGGCCATAGTAAAACCATCCGGCCCTGGTGCTTTGGATCTGTCCATTGCAAATATAGCTTCCTTTATCTCCTTGAACCTTCTCTCTAACCACACCTTATCATCCTCTGCCAACTTAGGCCAATCTAGATTCTAGACCTTCCAACCAAAATTTCTGGTCTAAAGGTCTTCTATAGATTGATTTGAAGTGCTCTACAAAGGCCCTAGCAGTCTCATCCTGCTGAGTAATAACCACCCCTCCCACCTCTAACTTAGAGATAAGATTCTTCCTCCTTCCATTAGCCATTGCATGAAAAAATGTAGTGTTCCTAAGTTGGTTTTCTTCCTCCTGCTTCCTTTATTTTTTTCTTTTTTTGGTTTTCATTTTTTGAGAGAAAAAAGTAGAAATGATGATTTTGGGCTGGGATAACGGTTGGGTTTTAGAATTGTTAGGATTTGGATGGGGAAAAAGGCATCTTGGTTGCATGGATGAGAGCAGTCAATTAAGATGGATAAACACTTTTCTTTTTCTAATCAGTAAGATGGATAAGGGAATGAGGCAACACTCCTAACTAGCAATGTAATGCTGGCCTCATGAAACAAATCCTGGTGCAAAAAGCAAAGTGGTTATACCCAAAGGTAGACTGGATATGGACCTAACACTGGTATTTTAGTACAAAGTGGCCTATTTGAGATTTGAATTCATGTTTTCAAGTTTTCGAGCCCAAGATTTCACTGTTGCATCAATCAGCAGCTCCCCTTGTTATCATCAGCTGAATGCACACTTAAATGTTAAGGGAGAGAAATATCAGCTAGTGACTCTTAACTATCTGCCTTTTCTTTTCAGCTGAATAAGCATTGTCACGGTAACCCTCATGATGTTAATTTTCATATGCAGACGCTGCTTGTTTTTTACGATTGTTGCATTGCACCAGTAGATATTTTCTCATCATAAGGCTTTTCTCCTCTAGTAGTTTTTCCTCTGATTGATGGGCATGAACATAAAGCTCATGCGTGTTTTTTTCATGTGTGTGTGCCTGTGTGGCATCTCTGTAGTTTTTTTTTTTTTTTTCTGGTGCATAAAAAAAGAGTAAAAGCAATTTGTATGTTCAGGAGTTGATCTTTCGTTTGATTCTTGTCCTAGTAAAGTGACCAAATTTTGATCCTCCATGCCTTTTCTATTACTTTGTCAGGATGGCAAGACTGTGGATACATTAGAGGGTGCAAATCCATCTAGTTTGGCCAACAAAGTTGCTAAAGTTGCAGGGTCTGTCAACTCTGGAGAATCTGCTGCTCCTGCTAGCCTGGGGATGGCTGCAGGACCTGCTGTTATTGAATCAGTTAAAGAATTTGCCAAGGACAATGGCTCTTCCAAGTTAGAATCAGGCCTCAGTGATCCATTGAAAAATCTCTTGCAGCAACTAATCGAGTCTCATCCAGTCATGCTTTTCATGAAAGGAAGCCCTGAAGAGCCAAAATGTGGGTTTAGCAGAAAGGTGGTTGACATCTTGAAGGAGGAAGGGGTCAAATTTGGAAGTTTTGATATTCTAACAGATAATGATGTTCGTGAGGGGTTGAAGAAGTTTTCCAACTGGCCAACCTTTCCACAGCTTTACTGTAAGGGGGAACTACTTGGTGGATGTGATATTGCAATAGCAATGCATGAAACTGGAGAACTCAAAGACATTTTCAGAGATCATGGGGTTCTAACTTCTAGTTCTGAGGCAAAAGAGACTGACCCAGAAAAGACTTCAACAACCTCTTCCTTGGCTGGGAAAGGTGGTGTGACTGACTCCACTGGCTTGAGTGCAACCTTGACCTCTAGACTGGAAAGTCTCATCAACTCGGGTCCAGTCATGCTGTTTATGAAGGGGAGACCAGAAGAACCAAAGTGTGGTTTCAGCAGCAAGGTAGTTGAGATTCTTCAACAGGAAAAGGTGGACTTCCAGACTTTTGACATCCTCACTGATGATGAAGTACGGCAAGGGCTCAAGGTTTATTCTAACTGGTCCAGTTATCCCCAACTATATATTAGAGGTGAACTGATAGGAGGATCTGACATTGTGTTGGAGATGCAGAAAAGTGGGGAATTGAAGAGGGTGTTAACTGAGAAAGGCATCTCTGAAAAACAGACTCTTGAGGACCGGCTACAGAAGCTAATCTCATCTTCAACAGTGATGCTCTTCATGAAGGGTACCCCAGATGCTCCTCGATGTGGTTTCAGCTCCAAGGTTGTGAATGCTTTAAGGGAAGAGGGGGTGAGGTTTGGGTCCTTTGACATTCTATCTGATGAGGAAGTCAGGCAGGGATTAAAGACCTTCTCGAACTGGCCAACCTTCCCTCAGCTTTACTACAAAGGTGAGCTGATAGGAGGTTGTGACATTGTATTGGAATTGCGCAACAGTGGTGAGCTGAAGTCTACCCTATCTGAGTAGTACCAAGATCAACCATCCAAATTGAAAGTGTTTCTGAAATAATGCGGACACAACCTTCACCGTGATTATTTGATGAAGTCCATTTCTAACTGTGTTTGGTGTTACTATACGTGTTTGAAATAGGAATCGTGTACTTCATGCTTGATTGATATTCAGTACTTAAGCCAGGACTAGATATGGGCATCCATGAAAAATTGAACTATCAAAATTCATACTCATATTGGTTCTCTATGCTAACCTCTTGTTATTATTGTGGTGCACTTGCTGAATGGGTGGACTCGGGACCCTGCATCTAAATGGTCCTGACAAGCAGGATATCCAGCAAAATATTTTTCTACCATTCAAAGAAAGTCATTTATCAGATGGTTCAAATCAGAAGGACGGGTCAAATTTTGCTTCTTGAAAATTATATCGTCAAATCTATTCTTATCTCTGCAATGATGGCCATTCCTCTTTCTGGTTGCATACGATCTGGGAAGTAGACAATACTCAAATAGCATGATCTTATTTTAGCTCAGATCTTGGACAAGTTTCAGTGCAAAATTTTGAGCATGTCATGGTCGTTCCCTCTTGTTCTTCGAGAGACTGATATCAGTCTCAACTTCATTCTCCATTAAGGTTTATATGGGGTGTATCTTATCATTCGGCAGGTCATCTCAACCAAGGTTGTTCCCCCTTGTTTTTGATTCATAGAGAACACTTGATATTGCATGCTCCTGCATGTTAGGTGTATTGATACTTTGAACTTTGATTGAGATGATTGGTCATCTCAACTAAGGTTGTTCCCCCTTGTTTTTGATTCATAGAAAACATTTGATATGCATGCTCCTGCATGTTAAGTGTATTGATACTTTGAACCTTGATTGAGATGATTTTAGGCCGTTGTGCTTATTTCTAGGGATGACAATTTCTATCTACTCGGTGGGTACTTGCCCTGCCCTTTCTGAATTATAACAGGTGGTTTTTTTGCTTGAAAAATATATTTTAGGGCTGGGGCAGGTTTTGGGATTTTACAACTGTATGTGTACAGGCAAGGTTTGAAATTTTGATATGTATTGAACCATATCAGTCAATATGTATTGTATCGGGAGGTTCCCAATATGTGTTTTGGAGTCTAACTCGGTTCAGGGGGTAGACATGCCTTAAACCGACCCCTCTGAACCAAGTTGAAAAAAAAAAAACTAAAAAAAGGGGGGCAACACACGATACAGTCCAATACACCCCTACCGGTGTATTGGACTGTATCTATATTTTGAACCTTGTGTACAGGTAGGGTATGATATTGACTAAATCCATCCCTTCTTGACTGGCATATTGTTAAGAGGTATATTATCTTATGTATTAGGTGTTCAATTTAATAATATTTTAAATTTTATGTGAAAGGACAATTGATAGTTTATGCGCTTTTTACATGTTTAAATCAAATAATTGGAATTTTTGGTGTTTGTTTATATATTTTACTTGGTTTTTGCTTATATATAATAGAAAATTAGATGTGGGTTTTGGACCAAACTTGCCAATCCAACCTTGGCACCTTGCCCCACTCTCAAATGTGGAAGGGTTTGGATTTTAAAATCCAGCAAGATATGGGTATTGGGGAAGGTACAGGTTGTGAGGTTTAGGGACGTAAGTAAGGTCTTGAATTTACAAAACTCTCCCTGAACCCGTCTCTTTGCCATCCCTGTTCCCTGCAACGTGAGCAGGATAAGAATTTCTCTTTTACCAATGGACTGGTCTTACATATGGGAAGAAGATGCGTTACGTTTCCCTTTTCATAGTTTTCTAACCAAATTCCTGCAACTGTTGCTACTGATGTACCAGAATTGGCATGCTGATATCTTGCTCTCAAGGACTTTGAATGATGCTATCCGCGATTCCGTAATAGCAGATCTTAGTTTTCTTTGCTAGAGCTCTTGTTCTCCACTATCTAGTTGCAGACGCTTGTTTATTTGCCGTCAGCAGTCACGTTTTCTTCCGAGGAGGTCAGGAAAATTGGGAAAGAAACTTGGCTTACAATGAGCAGATGCTTACACACTTTTCTGAACTTTCTCTTGCACCAGTTTCCATTAGCCTGAGGTGAATTTATTGAAAGCCTTCTTCATATTGGCACAAATCAACCATGGTAGTAAGGTCGCAGTAAAGGAAAATTTATGGATAAACATATGAAAGTTGCCTCTCCTCGGTCGATGGCCCGGCTGTTAGATGTATTTTAATTTGAGGCTGTCCTTAGGAGGCTTGGTCCAGGTTTCATGCGACAGTTTCTGAAGCTCGAGTTAATCCTCCACAATTCTTCACGTAAGTTGTAATATTAGGCCAATCATGGTACACCTCAGCTACATACTCAGATTCCTTTAGGATTTAAATCTTACTGGGGCGTCATTTTGCCAATTACCTGGCTCAACTGTCTAGTCCAGTCTGAGTCCGACGACACTGAGCAATAGTGAATTAGTGATGTCAAATGTACCTTATTGAGATGTTTGGTTCTAATAATTCTGTTCGTGTAGTGTCAATACCTGGCGGGGAGCTATCTGCTAGATTCCTGTGTTTGGTGTTGAGAGAGATTCAGAACTTGGATTCTACGTTTATGCAGAAAGGTGGGATTTCAAGAAGTGGTTTACGCTTGTATGGATTGATTCTTTATTAACCGTAAGGAACTGATAGAAGAATAACAGTATGCCATTTGTTTGCTAGAAATTGCACTGTGCCTACATGAGTACATGAACTGGTAAATGAAGCTAGAGAAGTTTTTTTTTTTTTTTTTCGATGATCATTTGGGCAAAATCTGTTAACTTCTCCCTTTTCACGTCATGATTCAATCGTTTTACATAATAGTAGTGTAAATAGTCCTGAAAGGGCCGAGAACTCTGACGAAGTACAGAGACTGACTGGTCATGGTCTCTTATCAACCATGAATCTTGTTTTTCTTCAAAATAATGCAACTCTGGTAGACTACCTTTTGAAGGAAATGTAGACCAGTCAAGATCCACCATGGAATACATTACTTGAAATCAAGGTATGAGAAGGAACTAAAGGTCCAATTCATTAGATGGTATTCTAGCTTGCATGGGGTTAAATGGGCAATAAGGGGGAACTTAAATATGTCTCAGCTACACAACATTAGCTGAGTAAGAATTAAGATTGCTATCTAGCAGGGTGCACAGAAAACAGAATGATAGAGTTGCTTTGAAAGAGGGCTATGGGCTTTGTCTGAGTCACTGAGATGAAGAAGATCTTGGGTGATCCATGTCCATAAGAAAACTCGCAATGGTTCAATTTCTGGTCTACCACCTTTTTTTTTTTTTCAGAATGCATTAACCATGTGGGCTGCTACCTTCGGAAGGGACAAAAGTTGAGAAAAGAAAGCCAAAATGATGTCGTAGCTCCCATTGATTCATGGCGACATGGCCCAGGCATGCCGTAAATTGACTGATTTGGTTTTTAGACTAATTACAAACTTTTTTTGTCAAGGCGGTTGCTGCTCACAGTCACATGCAGCTCGTCATGTTGTTGTTGGTTGATGAAAATATATTGACTTAAGCATCGTCTACTGCATATTTCTGCTTCTAAAAACAGAGCGTGAGTGCATCTGGCAAACGTGTTTTATTTATTTATTTTTATGGATGGTCAAATAGGAATGGCAACGGGCGGGGCGGGGCTGGGTTTTGCCTGCCCCGAACCTCGAGTTAGAAATCATAACCCCCATACATGGGAATGGGGATCCCCAAATTTGCCCCGTCCTATTCTCGTCATTTGTATTTGTATATTTATAAATTTATTTTTTATTATTTTAAAGCTTAAACCTTTTTAATATAATATATAATAATATAATATGTATTAACAGTTTTTTTTATATATATATATATATATATATATAATATCAAATGATTCAGGGTGGGGTGGACAAATATCACCCCCAATCGCTAGGTTATGTTTGATTTGAAGGAAAATGTAGGGAAAGGAAGGAAAATCTATACAAGATTTGTAAAGGTTTTTCTACCTTTTCTTTCCTTTCCTTACTTTTTCCTTTAAACCAAACATTGCCTTAGAGTTTCGGGTTTCTCTGAACCCCGACCAGGGTGGGGGCGGATTGAGGCAGAGCCCCTTGTGAACGAGTCAAATTGCCATCTCTATGGTCAAAGCACTTACGTACCATTAAACCAAATTCTCCTCTGCAGTAAGAGCTAGGGAGAATTGGAAGTCGTGTCATTTTGCTCCCAATTCTGGTTAGAATCAAATTCTGCTTCCAGCAAGAAATGGCAAGCATGACAAAACTTGGCAATGAAACAAATGGGCCCTAAGACGTGCTGGATTGGTAGTATGGTTCATTCTAGAAAATTGGGTCTAGGTCTGCAAATGGATTCGATTGAAATGATATACTTAGATCTCAAATTTGGTTCCTTAATGTTCAGATCCACATCAAATTTTATCCATTGAATTATTGAATACAATTGGTAAATTAAATTAACATTAATCCATTAATCAAATTTCTTTCAGGCTTCCAGCTCCAAAGGTTGCAAATAGTTGATTTGAGTTTGGGGATAGTGTGAACTTTGGGCCTTTGACATTCTAAATGAGGAAGTAATTATACAGTGATTAAAAGAACAGTGAAACGGCCAAACTTTCTTTATTTGGTAAATGAAATGGCCAAACTTAGTTTTACTACAAAGGTGAGCCACCCAGATGTTTCCATGCCGCCCAATTAGCTAGCTGAAGTCTACCCTCTCCAAGTAGGTCTAATCTCCACTGTCCAAGTCAATTGTGTCCAGCCTTCAATGAGATATTACTAACTGAGACTTAGAGTACAAATACATAGAAAATACAAGGTTTTACATTCTACATATTTGTATTTGTATTCTTTTGAAGGTTCAATTTGGAAAAAGTACAAATATAAATATATACTGGTGCAAATATATAGAAAATAATACAAAATATAAGGTTTTGTACTCTACATATTTGTATTTGTACTCCTTCCAAATTTAACATTAGGTCGTGTTTGGTTGCAGTGCAATTTTATTTGCACTAGTGCAAATGCATGGGAGTGCAAATGAAAAAAATGCAAATTCTCATTTAATTTTATTTTGGATTTTGCATTATTCTACTTCATGTCTTAATTTACCCCATTTATAATGCAATCAAACAAAATAAACTAAAATTTGAAACAAAAATAAGTCAGAATTTACACTCAAATCATTTGCACTGCTTTTACATTGCAACCAAAGTCATTGAACTATTTGCATCTGACGGAGGAAT